CCTAGAGTAGAGAATATTCCCTGAACCAAAGGTGGATGAGACTTAAAATATACTTTGGAAAAGAAATGCAGCTCTCAAATACCATAATCATGCTAGAAAAGAAGAAATATTGAAAACAAACCACCTGGGTATAAACTATCCTGGGGGTGAGGATCTCTCATAACGACAAGGCCTTCATGTCTACAGCTGAGGTTATGGCTGCTGGGGATCGATGTAGCCATTGAGGATGCTCTCCTGGGATTGGGAATTCCTACAGACTCCCAGAACCACTTAACAAAGGTGTATTGAGGTTGACAGAGGAATTTGGGAGTAAGAAGAAGCTGGATATAAGAATGGGGTCTCTGGCCTGGTCCAGAACCTACAGTTTTAGGACAATTGCTTTAGTAATTAGTTTTACAGACTACCTATAGACCAAGGCCTAGCATTACTGTGCTCCATTATTGGCCCAGTCTAGGCAGTCAGTCCATGAGGCCATTTTTATTTACAACGGTGGTAAGAGCTCTCCACCGCATGTTTGGCATGTTTGGTATGGACTCAAACATACCAACGATCATGAAGATGGTGCAGGACCAGACAGTGTTTCAACTGTTATACAGAAGGTCACTGTGAGTCGGAGCTGACTCAGCAACAATGACAACAACAACAAAAAGAGTAGCTCTGGGGACAACAGCCACAGTGGAAGGGCCAAGAGAGACATTTGCCATGGTCTTGTTTCTCTATCCATCTGTTTGCAGTTGCATTAGAATTCTTCCTCTCCTCTCTTTTAGCTACTCAGACCCTGGAGCTTGTATTTCTGCATTTCCGCTGAATCATCCTCCCCTCTGTCTCTTTCAATAAACCCCTACCCTTTTCTCACAAAAAGGTCATATTTATAACCTCACTTTTTTCTTTATTCATTTTATACTTTGTGATATTGTTTATCAGTTTATTAATTGCTTCCAGACTTTGGCTTCATTGTTATTAACTATTGCGCATTTTAAGGGTATTTATTTCCCTCATTGTTAGTATTTATCGCTTCACTATCAATTTCCTGTTCCCAGCTGTTGTTTTGAAATCGCATTATATATTATTAAGTTTCTTCATTGCCTCTTCTCTGTCACAGCTGACTGCCTGTTTACCTCTGCCTCTATGGACTTCCCTACTGTTCTCCCTCTCCAAGTTGCTCCGAATACTTTGTTGTACCTCCCTCCATTCACTGCCCTGCCAGTAAAATGCACCATATTCTTCTATCCTCCTTCACTTTTTCTCTAATAGCTTTCTCTGTTGGATTGTGGGCATTTTACGGTGCTTTTGTTCCCTAGACCGCAGCCAGGGTCCCACTCCCTCTTGCTCTCTGACCTTTCCTGATTCAATCCCAGTTCTCCCTTACAACCTCTTACCAACGTCTTCTAACTCCCCAGTCCCAAGGCTGCCATACCAGTGTTCTTCTTTCTGCTCTGGACTCAGCTTTCTGCTCTAGTGTTCATCTCACTCATTCTTGTAGCTGCCACGTTTTCTTAACTTATTGATCTTTTACAAGGTGACTCATCTAGCCTAGTCTTTTATTCTAAATGCATAATATCCTTTCTCCCAAAACAAAGATATCCTACATGTATCTTTGCCTCTACTCATTGCCGTCGAATCGATTCTGACTCATAGCAACCCTACAGGACAGAGGAGAACTGCCCCTTAGGGTTTCCAAGGCTATAATCTTTACAAAAACAGACTGCCACATCTTTCTCCCATGGAGCAGCTGGTGAGTTCAAATCGCTGACCTTCCAGTTAGCAGCTGAAACTTACCACTGGGCCACCAGGGCTCCTTTCTTTGCCTCTGGATTTTCTAAATACTAATATTTGTTGAGGCCCCTGGGTGGCAAAAATGGTTTGTGCTTGTCTACTAGGCTAAACTTTGGCAGTTCAAACCCACCCAGCGGTATGGTGAAAGTAAGGCCAGACAATCTTTTTCTGTAACATTACAGCCAAGAGAACATTATGGAGCAGTTCTGCTCTCACATATGGAATCGCCATGAGTTGCAATCGACTCATTGACAACAGGTTTGGTTAGTATTTGTTGACTATTTACTATGTATCTGGCTTATGTTAAGAAACTATAATATTATGTATAATATCTCTTTTAATCTTAGCAAAGACGATAATAGTTCTGCAAAGGAGGTGTTATCCCTATTTTACAGATGGGGAAACTGAGACTGAGAGAAGTGGCACATTCTCTTACATGTTAGTGAGTAGTGAGCTGGGATGGGGATGGGCAGCAGTCTGACTCCAGAGCACAAGCTCTTGGCCACCTGCTCACGCCTGCATGAAGGGAGTCTCTCTGTCTCCTTGGCCGCCATCGTTAGCAACTTCTTCCTAATAAAGGAGTTTAACCCTCATTTTCTACAGCAGTTTAGCTGGCATTTTCTCTCTTTACACTACTTTGTTAAGATATTCCATCTGTTCATTCCACTCCTCTGGGAGGAGAGCTGTCTGGCAGTAAACAATAGGTGCAGATGCAGGCAGGCAGGTGGGCAGGCAGGCGGCAGGTGGCCCCAGGAATCTGTCACTGGGCATTGGGAAGTCACAGAACTGGTGATCAGGCAAGTCTATGAAGGGACCCTGGGACACAGGGACCCAGTCCCAAGGGACCTGGGGTATCAGGCAGGGAACTAAAGTAAAAAATCACACACCAGCGGTTAAGACATTGATCTAGTTACCAGAATGGGGGCACATGATGGGCTTGTACACTAAGAACAAGGCAAAGTTCAGTAACTGGGTTGGTCCCAGAGTCAGAGGCAAATGAGAGCGTATCAGAGGCTGCAATCTGGGTGTGATGTGATAAGGCCTTGGAGAGGGGTAGTGGGAAAGGAGGAATGGGTTTGGATATGAGAGATGTCAGAAGGAAGTTAGACATACACAGTGATTAGGAGTACCTTGAATGATTCCCAAAGAGACTCACTGGATCCTGATTTTGTTTTTTCTATTAATGAGCCGAAGACTGAGACTGGTTTATCTGAGTTTTAAGTAGCTAGATTGCTTCTAGGAGTCCCTGAGTGGTAGAAATGGTTAACCTGCTCAAACATTGACCTATAGGTTGGAGGTTTGAGTCCACCCGGAGGAACCTCAGAAGAAAGGTCTGGCAATCTACTTCTGAAGAATCAGCCATTGAAAACCCTATGGAGCACAGTTCTACTCTGACATACATGCGGGTCACCATGAGTCAGGGTTGATATGATGGCAACGGTTAGGTTGCTTCTAAAGATGCACTGCATCAGCAGGTTAAATAGCCGGTAGCTTGGATGCCTACTTGCTAAAAACATTTTGTATTTCGATGTGGTAGGAATCATTTTTCCTCTGGTAGTGAAAAATTACATTGCACGACTCGTGTTTCTTATGGCTCCCCTGTGGCCAAATGCTGGCTGGAGTTACAGGTCTAGTCTGTGGCCTTTCCTGATCCACTCATGAAGATAAGATTTTTTTTTTTTTCAACTCTGATTCTCCCCAGTACTTTGTTTCTCTGATAAGGTGGAGGCTGTAGCAAACATGCACAGAAAACGGTTGTTGTTGGGCCCTGCCTACATTCCCTTTACTGGAACGGTGCCTTCCTCCTCTGGGTGCTATGCGAATTGGCTCCTAACAGGGCTGAGCTACCTCCCTTTTGAGAGGACTGCTCGCCCCCTCCTTCATCTCTGTGCAGCCTGTAGCCATAAGCTGATTGATGTGGGGGTAAAAAGGCAGCTCCTTTGGCTCCACTAACCGTCGCCATTGAGTCAGTTCCAACTCATGGAGACACCATGCGGGTCAGAGCAGAACTGTACTCCACAGGGTTTTCAGCAGTTGGGTTTTCAGCAGTTGAGTTTTCAGAAGGAGATCACTAGGCCTGTCTTCCAAGGTGCCTCTGGGTGGACTTGAACCTCTCACATTTTTGGTTAGCAGCTGAGCAGGTTAACCATTTGCACCACCAGGGACTCCTATTTTGATTTTCTTCTCTAACTAATGCAGCAAGTATTATTATCACCGTTTAAAATGAAGATAATAAGGCATAGAGAAGATAGGTAGCTTTCCCTCACAGCTAGTATCTACAGAGCCAAGAATTTGGACACAGGTGAAACAGTTTGTGCTTGACTACTAACGGAAAGGTTGGTGGTTTAAACCCACCCAACGGCAGTGCTGAAGAAAGGCCTGGTGATCTGCTTTTGTAAAGATCACAGCCAAGAAAATCCTACGGACCAGTTCTGTTCTGTAACATATGGGGTTGCTATGAATCAGAATCGACTGAACGGCAGCAGATTTGGCTTTTGTTTTCTGCTCTAAAGACCGTTTGAGAAATAGTTTGCCAAACAGTTCCAGTCCCCTAGAAAATGGAACCCAGAAACGCTAGTAATGATAGACAGAGGCACATAAAAATGCTCAGGTGGGGATCGCATCATAGGCAATTCTGAGAAGCCAGGTAAGAGAACTTGTGTCCCTGGGGGTTACTCAGGGAGGGGGGAATCTATCTCCTGGCTTTTTCTACGAAGTGTAGCCTGTAAGAAACTCTGAAGGTGCGTTTCTCAAACTCCGAAGTACGTACCAAGCACCTGACGGTTTGTTAAAATGCAGACTTTTATTCAGGAGGTCTGGACTGTGGCTTAAAATTCTAGACTTGAGATTTCTACAAGCGCCCAGGTTAGGGCTATGCCACTGGCCTAGGGGCTACACTTTGAGTAAAAGGATCTATGAGATTTTCCATTTCAGGGGTAAGCATCTTAGAGTTTAAAGTCCAAATCCCCATGAGCTGCTGATATTAAATGAACAAACTGTATATTTGTGCTCTAAACTACAAAACTACGGTTCCCAGAGTGCCTTTCAGAGAAGTGCCTGGCTGTATGGACACCTGGATTGTGCCTCCGTCCAAGTTGAACCACAGGCTACGTGGATTTTGCAGGTACTGGTCTGCAGATGATAGAATTTTACAGTCATGAGATGCAGTGGTATGCTAGAGATCAAAATATTTTTCACTTGTTTGACTGTAATCTATGGGGAAGGGGTGAAATGGCCAACTGATTATAATGCAGAATATAAAAAGATCAAAGTCCTACAGCACATGGCAAGAGCACTGTCCGCAGAAAAGGAACAGGAGCTCACGGGAAAATGTTCCTGTAATATATAAGGCATTAAAAATTCTGCTACATTATTCTTGCCACCAAGATTGTAATGAAAATGGGAAACGGCACCAACTTAACCCATTCTCATTACAATCGTTAGATTGTAATCTCGTGTTCTCCCCTCCAGAGAATGCTAAATGAGATTTTAAACAAAAGAGAGGACAGAGAAGTATGGAGAATAAAGGAGCAAATAGAAATTGGAAAGTTAAAAAAAGTGATGCATGATAGACTTCCCTGCACTCATCTGACGCTTGCTCTTTACTTTAGAACAAGAACGGAGCGCAGAGCATTACGAAGACCAATTTAGACCAGTATGGAAAATCCATAACACAACGCAAACATGTTAACTGTTTAAAACAAGGAGAATGTTAAGCACAAGTTTGCTCTTACTCTTTGATAGTTTAGTCCACTTTAGGTAAGCGAAAAAAATACAGGATTATCAAGCACACACACACACACACACACACACACACACACACACACACAAGCAAAACAATAAAAAGCTCCTGAGAGGAAGAATCTTGTTGTAAAGGTCATTGTCTGGACAGAGTTCCATTCTGAGCTCTCATCGTTTTTGCCACACTAGGCAAGTGACCACTCTTAAGTCACATGAATACTCTTTCTTAATGTGCTTTCATGCTGCATACTGGGAATGAAGGCTCTTGGAAGGTAACATGCAAAAATGCATAAATTAGTACACACTTACATGGAAGATACATCCTGCAGGATTTATGGGGAACCTTGGTACACTGGCCCTACCTGTGAATTTTTCAGAGAAAACCATGCATATTAATTAACTTTACAAGCATTTATTGAACATTGACTAGGTCCAAAGTATTATAATGGTAACTACGAGGATCCAGGGAGTCCCTGGGTAGTGCGAATGGTTAACATGCTTGGCTGCTAACAGAAAGATTAGCTGTTTGAGTCCACCTCAAAAAAAAGGGAGGGGGGGCCTGGCCTTCTACTTCTGAAAACTCAGCCATTGAAACCCTATGGAGTCCAGTTCTACTCTGGCACACGTGGAGTTGCCATAAGTCAGGATCAACTCGTCGGCAACTGGATTTGGTGGTATGAGGATCCAGCCCAAAGTTTTCCATTATTTTATGGAAAAAAATATTTATGCATCACCTACTCTGTGCCAGACACTGTAGCAGGAGCTTGGGATAGTGTGTTGAATAAGAGATGGGATCCTTATTATGTCTAGCTGGAGAGGGGAAGGAGGCATGCACAAATAAACAAGTAAATAAATGTATAGTTATAAGTTGTTATAAGAGACAGAAAGGATAATAAGTGATAATTGTTAATTATTATTGTTATATGAAAATAAGATGAGCTAGACAAAGAAGAGAGGTCTAATTAGAATGGATGAGAGAGAAAGGCCTCTCTGAGGACATGACATTTAAGGAGAGACCTGGAGCAAGCCGGGTAAAAGGTGGGAGCTACAGTGTTCCTGGTGGAGATGAGCAACTGGTTCCCACCCTCTTTCCACTTAGTGGAGGAGATAGATGGGTGCATCATTAAAGTCTAATCAAGAAAAAAGAGCCCTCTCCAGATGCTTCAAAACAGGAAATTTCATATAAGAGAATTTCAAATATTTTGGAAGAGTTGAAAAAACTCAGAGGCAATTGGCCATCAACTCACCATCTCCAGGGTTGGGGGGATAACAAGAGGAAGTAATGTTGCCAGGCCCAGAAGCAGAGACGTTTACATGGAGGTGGGATCATTGAGGGGGAAATTAGGAGTAAGAGCTGAAACCATGAGGGACCCTTGCCTTGCCACTGCTGGATATACCACGTGAAGCAGAGAGTTGTTGTTACTAGCTGCCATTGAGTCGGCCCCTGATTCATGACTGCTATGTGGGGAACAAAAGAAAAAACAGGAAGCACTGTTAGGAGTAGTGGTGTGCTGGCAATGTTTAACAACAGGCTCTCAAAAACAAAAACAAAACCCTGAACAAGTAAATAAATATATAATTAAAAGTTATTATAAGAGATGGAAAGGAAGATAACAGGATACTAAGGGACAGACAAGGAGGGGAGACCTAATTAGAATGTGTCGGAAGGGAAAGTCTCTCTAAAGAGAGACCTGGAGTGAGCCAGATATAGATAAAAGTTCAGTAATTTTGTTTCCCTGAACCCAAGTAGAACCATCCTTCAGCAAGTCCAGATGTTGTAGTAAATGTACTTCAAAAAAAA